AGCAGTGATTGGGGCACCTGAGAGGATGATGCGAGGTATCATTAGCCCTCTTCACTCATTTCAAGAGTTATGCCAGGGCAGGTCCTAAGAGTGCCTATTTGCCTAGAATTTAGTTTATTTTTAATCTTTTTTTATTTAGACAAGATGTTATTCATGCTGGCCTGAAACCCTAGCGTAGTCTGCTGGCCTCAAACTTGTGACAATCCTCCTGACTTAGCTTCCCCTGACTTTTGGAGCTGAAATTTTAGAAGAGGGATTTGCCAAAGGGCCCATTAGATGCTGCCACTAATCTAATCAGTTCTTATGTGCATCACGGCTTCAAAGAGCAGCCCCCACAACTCCTCCTCAAGAGCTGTGCAGATCCCATGTCACTTACTTATTTATTTATTTATTTGGTTTTTCGAGACAGGGTTTCTCTGTGTAGTTTTTGTGCCTGTCCTGGCTCTTGCTCTGTAGACGAGGCTGGCCTCGAACTCACAGAGATCCACCTGCCTCTGCCTCCCAAGTGCTGGATAAAAACCTTCCATGGCCCACAGGAGATAACCTTTTTAGGTTGGGCTCAGGATGAATATATGGGGAGAAAAGAAGTGAGTTTCTAAGGCTATGACACAGCACAGGGAAGCTATGTCTTCATGGAAACGCCCATCGAATCCCGCCATGTTGTTGCTCTCCCCTGTCCACAGAGACTGTGAGGTCTGTCTTCTCCTCAGCCCCTTCACTTGTCTAAGGGGAAGAATCAGGCCTACAACAGCAGTGGGGGTGGAGCCAGCCTGCTTTCTTCTGACTGTTCCAGGCTCAGTCTCCAGGCAGGCCTCGAAGGTCATGGAGAGCCAGTTCCTTGGGGGTTTGGTCTCAGAGCACACCAATGCATCAAATGGGACATTTAAGAAATATTCCTAGACCTCCAGTCCCCAGCCCCTGAATAAAGCACATAAAGAGCAGGCACCACCAATTCCACGATGGATGGTGGCCCTACAGACCCCCCCTCCATCCTCCCACCCGCCCATGAGCTACAAAGCAAATTTCCAAACTCCCCCAGGCTTCATCTGTACCTATTTAGTCAGACAAGGGTATACACATGGATAGTGACCCAGAAAGAACACAGAGGAGTCTAGGAGAAGGTAGGCTACTGTTCAGATGCTGTATATAGAAGCACAGAGAAATGAGAATTTGAGAGACTGTATTTACTTCCTTTTCTTGTCATCTCTTACGATCTAACACACACATACACACACACACACACACACACACACACACACACACACACACACAAGAGCTTTTGACATTCCCAAGTATAATCATTCAGGGAAAATGTTTAACGTCTAGAAACGTAACCATCCATGCATGTATTTTATTTCTAGCACTTCAGTTCCCGCTTCTATAGGGTCCTGAAGTTTATGATATTAATCAATGAATCCTGCTACTACTTTTACATATTAACCAATGAATGCTGGGTTTGGTTATTGGGGACCGGAAATAGTTATTTGACAGGGGGTTATCTCCGGGGTAGGAGGGGTGATGCCCCGAAACTATGTTGTGTATTTTGTTCACAGAAAGCTAATTCTTAGAGACTACTCCAGCGAGTAGATGCTAGCCAGTGAATCTCGATGACATATTCCCTGCGAGCTCCTCTTGGAAACGAAGACTGTGTGCCTTCTGGACAGTGTCAGAAAACGGAAGTAACAAATAGTCTTTATTAGTGAAGAGCTGCTTTTTCTGAAACAGATCTAATAGTGGGTTACGCACATGAACCCTTTTAAAGAACTTGCTGAGGGCTGGGGAATTTCCAAGCTCAACTTCCGTTGGCCTGCAGTTTGAGCAAGACACACATCTGTTCTTTAATTGCTCAGTATTTCAAATCAAAACAAACTCTTCCGCGCGGAAAAGGCTCAGGTTACCCTTTGTGTTGGGAGAGTGAGTCTCCTCTTCAGACTGGGAGGTAGGGACATTCCCTGCATCTCCTGCACATCACCCACCGCAGCCGGCGCTGCAGCAGCAAACTACGGTCACTAGATGGCAGGGGAGGACCGGGCTAGCTCTGGAGGCGGCTCTTTTCACCCAGCCGGAGGAGGACCACTTTTGTTTCTCTGCCTTTTCTTCCTGCCCCTTTGTTTGACTTCACCATTTTCTATCTCCCTTTCTTTCCGCGATAGTTCCGTGTCGCCTTTCATTCAACACCCTTGTTCAAGGAAAGTCTTGTCTTGAGACGCCGGGGTTGGGCTGTCGCAGATCTTTTTGCAAGGATTCTGACTGTCCCGCGCCAGCAGCCCTATTGCCCAGTGCAGGCATCTCCTTTCAGGTCCTTCCCACATTTTGTCAGCCTGTCACTGGCCAGGTGTTCCTTTCATCCTTAGACTACAGCTCAGCTATGAGTAACTTAGGGGTGATTGTACGTACAGGTATCACCGCGGTTGGGGCGGGCAGCTTCAGATGTGTATTCAGAATAATCTGGTTTAAGAGAAATGCTCGGTTGTGGAAATGAAAGCCAAACAGGTTGCCCAGACCAATCATACCTCCCCGTACTGCATCAGACTGGCACTTCATTGAATCTAACTCAGAAAACAGTGCAGAGGGCACTGGAAAAAGCCAGCGGCCAATAATCTTCCTACGGCATCCTAAAGATTGCATCAGTTTTATGTTGAACATAACCTTCTTTATTTTGCACACAAACCAGCCTGCAGAAGCTGGGGGACAAGCCGCAGCCCGCCCCCCAGTGGAGAACAGTGGGGAAGGATCCCCCAGTCAGGTGTAGCAATGGCAAGTTGGGTATCCCAAAGCCTCTTTTCACACCAATTAGAGGTCTATGATCCCCCTGTGGCAGATGGCGCCAATAAAGTTAATGGGATTTATGCTCACCAAGGAATGATAGACGCCAGAGCTGGGTTCCAAGAGGGGCCCTCCACCCTAGAGGAACTAAGTCTCCAGTTAGATCTGCCAGAAATTCAGAAGGGACCTCAGCTGGTGGCTTTCATGAATACCTCCACCTTCCAATGCCTGCTGCCAAAACCTGGAGAGAAGAGGATCCCTTGTGGTCAGAAAGGCCCCTGTGCAGTCTATACAACTGCTTATTACTGCTTATTGGTTTCCGGTACCAATGCTTTCCAAGCCCGAGGAAGCACTTTCCAATGCTGTGATGAAAACATTCCATAGTGGAAACCAAAGCAGATGCACATTAAATTCCCTCCCTTTCCCACCCGACTCCTCCCCAGACTTGGGGCAAATTAGACCAGGATGGGCCCCGTTTCTTGTCTTGCTTCTTGTTCCACAGTGGCACCAGTACGATTTATGGCTTTGAAGGGAGAGCCAGCCCAAATCAGTTGTTTCAGCTGACCTTCGTGTGAGTTTTCGGGTCGAAGTGAAATCCAATGGGGTGTGACTTGAATCCCAAGAAAGTCTCCTGAAAGTGGACTGCAGGAGCTCGAGGAGGAGTGGAATTAGAGTCCCTCCCTCCGCTCCGAGCTCACAAAGAGCCTTCCTCTCAGCTCCACACTGTGCTGGGAAGGGCCTGCTGCACCTGGCCAGGGCCAACGGGCTATTGTTTTCTGGAGGTGGGCCCCCTGCTCACCCCTGGAATTGGCCCTGTGCCAGCGCCCTGCGCGCCAAGCAGGCTTTGTCCTAAGGACTCTGAGCTGGTTACACAGAGAAAGTGAGGCTTGGCTGGAAGTCTCCCAGAGGATGGCGAGCCTTTCTTCCCACAGCCAGGAAGCAAGTTCTAGCTTTTTTTTTTTTCTTCTTCTTCTTCCAAATCCCCCATAACCTTCTAAACTGAGAAGCTGGGCATACTCAAAGTTTGAGCTAGGGCATGTGGATGCTGTTAAAAGAGATGGTTAGTGTGTATGAGAAGGCAGCAGGATTTCTAGAAATTTCTAAAATGACATACTCAGCACAAAACTAGAGGGGAAAGTTTCTGACTAGGGTACAGGGCTAAAGCATGGGCTTTGGAGCCAGACAGACCTGGGTTGTCTGTCCTGATCCATCCTGGTCAGAGCTGAGACAGCTGGACGAAGTAATTTGATCCCTCTGAGGGTCTTTTGCTGAGGAAGTCCGTCCCTCTCCATATCTGCCATCTAACTCAGTGCATTCCATGTTCTTCTTAGGTGACCACTGGGTTTATAATCATGGTGGCCATCGGAGTTAGTTGAACACTTTATATTAATTATGTTTAATCTTTGACGTGCTTCTGTAGGGTAGGCGTGACTATGAACAAAGAAGGAGAAGAGATCCTGTAAGAGCCAGAGTATGGGAGAGAGGGTGTGAAACCCAGTCTTCTCCTGCTGAAGTCACAGTTAGGTACAGGACACACTTAGAAGAGGGGTCTAATGACAGCTGTGTTTTAAATATTGTTAGTAACTTCTTTATTTTCCTGCGAGGGATGGGGTCTATGATCCCCCGGTGGCAGATGGCGCTAATAAAGTTAATGGGATTTATGCTCACCAAGGAATGATAGACGCCAGAGCTGGGTTCCAAGAGGGGCCCTCCACCCTAGAGGAACTAAATCTCTTGCACATAGGTATCTGACTTTCTCTGCATTCTTTTCTAAAAAGATGGTCCTTTCTCTAGCTCGTGTTCTTAGCACACTTGTCAAAAATCAGTTGGCTGCAGATGTCTGGGTTTTCTTCCAATCATTGGACTCTGTGTGTGTGTTCTGTGTGAAGCTTTTTATTTCAATCCCATGTTGTTTTTGGATGAGTGTGGGCTAATGTATGAGTGCATACACGCTCATGTGTGTGCATGTGTGTACATGGAGGCCAGAAGTTCACACTGGGACATCCTCTTCAGTTGCTCTGTTTCTTGTTATTTGAGACTGGACCTCTCAGTGAGTCTGGAGGTTGCCTTTTTGGCTAGGCTGGCCGGTGAGCTCCAGGGATATGCTTATCTCTGCCCCTTGGCACTAGAGTTATAGATGTTCATAACCATGTCCAGGCTTTTTGTTTTTTCCTCAACCTAAGTCCAGGGGATCTGAACTCAGGTCCTCATGCCTGAGCAGCCATGCCCTCAGATCTGCTGTATGGCTTGTATCACCATACCTTTGTAATATATATACACAGAGATATGCTTACACACACACACCACTGTTTATTACATTTTAATTTGTTTTGTGGGGAAGCACATGGGTGCCGGGACGCATGTGGAGGTCAGAGGACAATGTGTAGGAGCGGGTCCCATCCTTAAGTCATGGTTCAGGGATTGGACTCAGGCTCTTAGACTTGGCAGCATGTGCCTTCCCGCTGAGCCATCTCTTCAGCCCTGTGCTGCCTTTTGAAGCCAGATAGTTTAGTATCTCTTGTTTTGTTCCTTTTGATGAAGATTTGTTTGGCTATTTGAAACTACTCTCTCTATATACAATTTTTGAAATTACAGCCATCTAATAACCTTTCCACAGACCTCAGATTAGAAAATTACAATTACTTAAAAATAATAGTATATCCCATTTATAATGGAAATATAGTACTTCCACATGCAAAAGGTCATAAGCACACCCTTCCACCCACCCATCCATCTACCCATCCACCCATCCATCCACCCATTCATCTGATTTAATCATCTAGTTGTTGGTGCAAGTACCAGGGGTTGGACTGGTTTCTGCGGTTGGCAAAACCAGATCCTCTCTGAAGACTCCACAGCATGTTGTCACAGGACCAGGCAACGGCACTCCTAGTTATATGCTCAAAGAAACACATAGCAGCTTAAGGTATATGTCAATCTTTACAGCAGCATTTTTCAGTACAGTGCAATATCTCCAAACGAAAAGGAACCGAGGACCTCCTGCTACAAGCTGGATGAACCTTGGGGATATGATGCTGCACAAAAGACCTGGGCACAAAAAGCTAAAGGTTCCCAACAGGCAGACCCATGGAGGCAGACAGTAGAAGAGTAGCCGGGAGTTTGGGGGCAGGGAGGAATAGGGGCCTTCTGCTGCTAAGCAGAAAGCAAGAGGGAGCAAAAAGTGGTGGTTGGGGGGGCGCAGCCTGGGTAGTAGGCTGGTGGTGCTGAGAATGTTCTAGACTTGGTTGTGATGGCCACTTGAGCCTATGGCTGTACTAAGAGCTGCTGAGTTGTACACTTTAAAGAGATGAATTTTATGATACTTAAATTATACTCACATTAGAAAAAAAAATCCAACCAAACAGACGTTTAAAGGAAAAGAAGACAGGGCAGTGTCTTGCTTTTAGAAAGCCCTCCGCCTGGCTGCCAGCGAGGCTGGGGCACCTCCCAGGGTTGTAAGGGTAGGTATAAAGTGTCATGTCTGGGCCTTAACACCCCACCCTAGTATCACTCCCTTCTGCTCAGTGAAGGTCTTGGTAGGAAAGAGCAGAGAGTTCCATCTCAGCCCACGTTTTCCCCAGCTCAGCTCTTCCCCAGCTGGGGCTCTGGCAGCCCACGTCCAGCACAGCCCGGAGGCTCTCTGCTCAGCCAGCCCCAGGCTCCCGCAGCGTGCCTGGAGGAGCAGGCCAGGCCAGCAGCCTGCACATCCTGCCTAATTTAAGTGGTAATTTCCTTTGGGGGTTTCACTCAAGTGTAGCCCTCAGAGGACCCGTGGAGAAGAGCTTTTGAGAGGAAATGTTACCCTGGACTTCCAGGAGCGCTTTAAAGACGCGCGGAACTTTCCTTTTGGCTCCAAGAGGGCCCTGGGGATGGCTGATTAACCCGGGCGGGAGTGCAGGCCTTCCAGGCTCCCCCAACCTTCTGACTGTGGCACAGGGACTCTGCTAAAGGTTAGCAGGCCTCACACTGCAGAACCTCAGGAAGGAGTTAGGAAAAACAAAAGCGGTCCTTTAAACCAGTTTACGACTTTTTGCTGGGCCACAGGCATTCACAGCTGCCCTGGGATGCCCGCCCGTGGGCATGGTTGATGGTGAAAGAGGGTTCTTAAAGGAAGTGTGGGGAACAGGAGAGGAACTGTCAGGGTCAAAAGAGGTTGAGATTTGTGGTTCCTACTGCCTTTGGTGATAAAGAAAAGGTGGGTTTTTTAAAGGTCATTAATACAATAATAGCATTAATAACAACAACTTATTGCTTTGGTTCCCCCTTTATTTATTTATTTATTTATTTATTTATTTATTTATTTATTTATTTATTTTGGTTTTTCGAGACAGGGTTTCTCTGCGTAGCTTTGCTCTCTGCCTCCCGAGCGCTGGGATTAAAGGCGTGCGCCACCACCGCCCGGCTGGTTCCCCTTTAGTAATGGGGATGAAACTGGGCTAAGGGAGGTGGGAATACTTGGACCAAATCCTACCTGCATTTTTGTCGCTTGGGGTGCCGTGCACAAGCAGCTGCCACAACGATTGGAAATCATGGGGTGGAGGCTCAGCACAAGGGTGCTTTTGAGAACACCGTGGGATGAGATTATTATGCAGGCAAGAACAAGAGCTTCTGCTAAGCACCAAGTTCTTGGCAGGATAGGATACTCCAGGGCATCTAAAGGAACTAAAGTCAGAGGGGGAGGGAGAGAGAGAGAGAGAGAGAGAGAGAGAGAGAGAGAGAGAGAGAGAGAGAGAGAGAGAGAGAGAGAGAGAGAGAGAGAGAGAGAAACAATACCAGAACCAACTACCAACCACAAACGTAGCCCTGAGGAGCAGCAACGTTGAGAGACACTAGGTCATAAATGCAAACTATAGGTTCATCCTATGTTTTTCTCTTTTTCTTTAAGTGTGCATGTGTGTGTGAGTGTATGAATGTGTGAGCGGTGTGTATGAGTGTGTATATGTGTGTGTGAGTGTATGAGTGTGTGAGTGTAGTGTGTGTGTGTGCTGTGTGAGTGGTATGTGTGTGTGTGTGTGGTGTGTGAGTGTATGAGTGTGAGTGGTGCGTGTGTGTGAGTGTATGAGTGTGTGAGTGGTGTGTGTGTGAGAGTATATGAGTGTGTGAGTGGGGTGTGTGTGTATGAGTGTGTGAGTGGGGTGTGTGTGTGAGTGTATGAGTGTGTGTGTGTGTGTATGAGTGTGTGAGTGTGGTGTGTGTGTGTGTGAGTGGTATGTGAGTGTATGAGTGTGTGAGTGTGGTGTGTGTGTGTGTGAGTGTATGAGTATATGAGTGTGTGAGTGGTGTGTGAGTGGTATGTGTGAGTGTATGAGTGTGTGAGTGGTGTGTGAGTGAAGACCAAGAATAGGCTTCTGGTATCTTCCTGGATTGAGTTCACCTTATTTATATATTGAGGCAGGGTCTCTCACTTGAACCCAGAGCTTGCAGGTTTGGCTAGTCTGGCCAGCTTATACCAGGGCTTCACTGTATTGAGATGGTGGCTGCTGTGGATGCCAACTCTGACCCTCATGCTTACTCCCTGAGCCAACCAACCTGCCCAAGTTCATTCATTCTTGAAAACTAGAAAATCAAAAGCACCCTGCCATCTGACCCCATCACCCAGTCACTACTCCAGTTATTCGTTTGCCTCTGTGTAACTAGGGTTTTCCTGCCTGGCCCACAGTCAGGACAAATCTCTCTCACCTGCCAGTCCCACAGCCGCTCAGACCCAACCAAGGAAACACAGAGACTTATATTGGTTACAAACTGTATGGCCGTACCAGGCTTCTTGCTAACTATTCTTACAGCTTAAATTAATCCATTTCTATAAATCTATACCTTGCCACGTGGCTCGTGGCTTACCGGCATCTTCACATGCTGTTTGTCATCATGGCGGCTGGCAGTGTCTCTGACTCAGCCTTCCACTTCCCAGCTTTATTCTCCTCCTTGTCCCGCCTATACTTCCTGCCTAGCCACTGGCCAATCAGTGTTTTATTTATTGACCATTCAGAGCAACACATTTGCCATACAGAACATCCCACAGCACCTCTGGGTGCAGAGTTAATTCTGTATGGTTTTTCAGTCTTGGGCTTGAGCTCTGGGACCTAGCTCAGGGTGGTGCGTGGCTGGTGCTGGATCCTGTAGAGTCCACATCTGCTCAGTGTGATGCATGGCTGATACTGAATGGGTCCACGCCTGCTCCCTGCTCCTGATGTTCTTTGTCACAGTTTTTATAAGCACTCTTTGAGACTTCCTTGTTTCTAATTTTAGGTAAGACAAACTCAAACTTAAGGTTTCAAGCAAGCACAAGATGTCCTGCAAGGGAATTCGCCTGGGTATGGCTGGATGCTGCGACTCACTGCAAACGGCCTTCTTAGCTCGCTCACACGTGGAGTTTAACTATAAACGAGACAAACATGTAAGAAACCCGAAGGCTTTCCCATGATGTCTGAAGTCCACCCAGCCATCCCTTATGTTTGGACTGCTTAGCTTTGTATCCACCCTCGCCAACTTTCTGGCATTTGTGCTACTGTTTTCATTTTTTTAAAAAGCAACAGCATATGATTGTGGAAATGATTAAAGATCAGGGAGTTGGAACTGCTAATGAGAAGGCTAATATATTATTTAAAGTTTCAAAGGTGGGAATCATAGAACTACAAATAATAAATATAAAATACTCGGTGGAGGAAGAAGCTTGAATAAGGGTGCTAAATCTTCCCTTTCCCATATTAAGGTGTCTAGACATGTTATCTGAGATTGAAAGATGGGGAAAGGAGGTTAAGCCTCTTATCTAGATTTATGTAGGGAACTGCTACAAGAACCCAAAACAAACAGATAAAAGAGGCTGAATCTCTGTGAGGGTGGAGGAAGAAAGCAAGGGCTAAGAGGCCCCTGTCCCTAGGCCCTTCACCTGTCCTTAGTGATTTGTTCCCATGCATACATATGGCTGTAGTGGAATTTGTTTTTCTTAAGCAAGAGGCAAAATATTAGGAGTTAGGCTTAGAAACACTTCATACGGAATCACACAGTTCACATCAGCTCACACAGCTCGCACGGACTCACACAGCTCACATAGGCTCACACACCTCACAGGGACTCACACACCTCACATGGACTCACACACCTCACAGGGACTCACACACCTCACAGGGACTCACACAGCTCACATAGACTCACACATCTCACATAGGCTCACACACCTCACAGGGACTCACACACCTCACATGGACTCTCACACCTCACAGGGACTCACACACCTCACATAGGCTCACACACCTCACATAGGCTCACACATCGGTTGCAGTTGGGCTACATACTTGGCTTTGAGCTGTGCAAGAGCAGTTAAACAGGAGTCTGGTCAGTCCATTCACAAGATTCTCAAGGTGGACATACATCAACTCTGTGGGAGAACTTTGGCCGCTCTTTACTATTGAATTCAGAGTGTAATTTCTCCTGGAAGTTTTAAAGATGATACAGTGTGATTACAACCTCAGTAATATCTTTGAAATGTGTTAAATAGCAGTTTTCATTCCCACTAGAAAAATTATCAACCCAGATTGCTAGTGTCACACACAAGCACAAATTAGATAAATAATTCTATAAGACTTCGGCTCCCGTTTGATCTAGAGACGGGTTTTAGATTAATTTATTGGGAAAAGAAGATTTTGTTTGGTAGTAATTAAAGGTGTGCAGCACTACATCTGGCCAAGTGTTCAATTGTTGCTGTTGTTGGTTTTCGAGACAGGGTTTCCTTGTGTAACAGCTCTGACTGTCCTAGAACTCCCTTTGTGGACCAGGCTGAAGTGTTCAGTGTCCAAAACATAACAGAAACTCTGTTTTAAAAGGCGAATTGCTAGGCTCTTTAATATGCTGTGCCCTTAAGGAAAAATCTGAGGAAACCCAGAGATTTCGGAAGGGGCAGCCATGTTTTGTGTTCTAGTTGATTGACTGGGACAGGTTTTCAAATTCTTGTTCACACCCAGAAACTCAGACACAGACTTCGGGGTTTGGAGAGAAATTTCGTGGCGACTGAGGTGTGGTTTATTAAAACAAACTAAGTAGTTGTCTACACACCCTGAAATGGTCTCGTTCTCTTTCACATTTCTTCAAAGACACTAAGTCAGCTGACCTGCAGCTTTCTGCTTCTCTCCCTTGTTCCAACACTGAGATGGCCAGGGATGGTGGCCTTCTTGGTTATTAGCCCAAGGCGCGGTGGTTTTTAAACCGTCCCTGCATCCTTGCTGGGCTACCAGCTGGACTGAGATGCTCTGTTTACAGACTTCTCTAATGTCTGGGCTTTCCAAGTTTACAATGAAAAAGGAGAATTAGTTTTTCACTGAAAGTCTTGCTCTATATTTACTTGAACCCTTGGCATTTGCTAAAGCTTGTCTCCTAAATAAATAAATAAATCTTACAGATAAGCAATGAATAACTGGTGGTAGAAATGGAAAACTTCATGGGAATCTTCTGTTCTGGTTCCATTACTATTTTTATTATAATTGTTTTTGAGATTATAACACAATGAGATCATTTCCCCCTGCCATTTCCTCCATCCAGCCTCTCCCTTGTACCTTGCTCTCTTTCAAATTCATGGCCTCTCTTTCTTTAATTGCTGTTACATATATATATATATATATATATATATATATATATGCATGTATATGAATATATATATTCCTAAATGCATAATTACAACCTGCTCAGTCCACATAATGTTACTTGCATGTATATGTTTTCAAGGCTGAACATTTGGAACTGGACAACCAACTAGTGGGTTTTTCCCTGCGGAAGATTGTTTCTCTCACTCTCAGCATTTCTCAGTTATCTATAGTTTTTTGCCAAGGGTTGAGGCCCCAAGAGATTTTCCCCTTCCATATTAGCATGTTTATTGGTGACATGGTGTTGTTCTTGTTCAGGCCATGTTTAGACCGCCGTGTTTAGACAGCCTTCGTGTGTGTAGCTTCTCCGACATTTCTAGGAGGTAGTCTCTCAGCAAACTTCCTGTTCCTCTGGGTCTCACAGTCCTTCCATCCCACCTTCCACAATGATCCCTGAGCCTTCAGTGCAGAAGCTGCTTTGTAGATGTGTCGCTTAGGACTGATTTTGATCAGTTAGGGTTTTCTGTAATGGTCTCCAATTATTGCAAAGAGAAGCTTCCTTGATGAGGGGGCATGACTCATCAGAACTGGACATTCCTCTCTGTGGTGGACTATGGGTAAACAAAGGTGATAATATGCCTTCTAGAAACCTGCCTAGATTCCAGTTCATAAGTCTGAGTCCTGTGAGGTGTAATGGCACCACCTAGGTGCAGGGCCCTCTCTACTAAGAACTAAACTCTAGGGAGACCAAGGGTGGCCAGCTCTTAATGAGTTACAGCTCTGCTAAAATATTCAGAACTTCTGCCAAAGCCCTTCTCCACAAAGTATTGGCATGTTCTGCTAAAGTGCTCTAAGCCCTGTAGAGTGTTTTACAGTGGCGCACGCCTTTTGTGAAGCCCAGGCTATTGCAATAGTGCTTCGCAGATGGGCTATTTCCCTATGCCAGCTATCTCACGTCTCAAGATCCTGGTTGACAGGGGCTGCCGCTCCTACTGTGCCCACGGGAAAGTGAAGGCATAGAGGATGAGAGGCTCATCCATGGCTGTAAAGCTCTACGTTCTGCTTTCTGAACTGCTGTTTTTTAGGATTTTTCTCTGGGGCTATTCCAAGTTCCTGACTGAATGTGGTACCACGCAACCTCTGGGAGCTCTCTAGTGGGGCTTTTGAGACTAATACCTGAATGCAAAGGGGAATGCAAAGGGTTGTTACTGATTGTTACAGGCAAGCATGGCTAGAGTTTTCCTTAGGATTAATAGTTGAGAAGTACTCCTCAGGACAAAGTCTTTAGTTCTGACTCTACTTCCCGCATTAACCTAGTGGTTGACTCCATCTTTTAACAGGACTTGAGGCCTTAGATAAGCTAGGTGCTCATGTTGGTTATCAGATGAGCACTTACCCTCTCTCAGCTCTAACTCATCTGATATTCACCTCAGTGCATACCCCGGTGCCTATGATGTGGTAATCCTACTGTGTTTTCATGACTGTCTCTATGGGCTTACCTAGTCAGGGGTCTAGAGATTTAGTTCCAAGGAATTGCTGGTGAAAAGCTACTGATTTCACTCACATGAAGGTGAAAAGTTGAGAAAACATGAATTTATCTAGTCTGGCTCTTCCAGTCTTCAGAGCCTGCTCACAAGGGTTCCCCTCAAGGGTTCCATTCCAAACACAACTCAATGTTTATGCTAATCCCACTATGGCTGTTTCTAAAGCAAGTGTCACTGACAAAAAAATGGGAAAACCTCTCATTTTTATTGTGTTCCTGGCCATTTCAAGAGTCATTTCCTTTCCTTTCAGGGAGATAAAGAGACATATATTATGTGGGCAGAAGATGCTGTGTTCTGGTCAATAACGCAGGCCACAGAGGTCAATGGCTTTAAGCCAAGCCTGGTGGAAAGACACCATAAATTTTCAAAGGTGGGGGAGGAGGATTTCGAAACTGGTGAGCATGGGCTTCAAGGAGGAAAGACACTGGGCAGAAACGGCTCTCTAAAAAGAAGTATCAGTTCCATAAAATCCTACCACAGTCTACACAGGCTCCCTGGAATGGGGAGAATTCTGCCCACCCAAGTTTTACTTAGCGACAAAGACTAATAAAAAAAGATCTGAAAATAAATCCTAGAGGTCAGCTCATCCCTTGAGACTGCAACTTGAAGCTTCCTTCTTTGATTGGCTAGTTCATCAGTGTCTTCCGTATTAACGAGCAGACTGACTCCTGGTTTGATGGCACAGCTCCAGGACACTTCCATCTTATCCGAGATTTTAACATGCTCTAGGCATCATGTTAGTATAAAACATCACTTATTCACACTCCTCCAATCCCCCCTGAAACACCTGATTTTGGAAACCTCTGGATTTATTTCTCAGTTTTTATGGAAGATGGAGGAGGGTGGGTGCCTATATTTGTACATTCATGCACATGTATGTGAGGAAAAACAAGATTATGCTATGGAAGTAAGGGATGGTGTTATTTCTTATAAACACATTTGACTGGAATTACTATCATACAACACGCATAGTGTTGCATTCACTGCAAATACATAACATGACTGATAAACACAAGAAATCACTAATAAGGAATCGGTGGTAGGAAGTTTAATCCCACGGGTAATAGTTCATTTGAGGCTGTGTGCGTATGTGCATATTTTTTGCAAACAATAAGGATTTCCTTCAAAAGATGAAATGTGAAAATATTGGGATTTGAAACAAAGAATAATTACTTCAGGGGCTTAAAAAGTCTTACCCTGTGTTTTATTTACTGTTTGTCTACTCACACTGGATGGGGTTTTACAAGCCTTCACATATCCTTCAGTGGTTTTCCAAGGCTTGTGCATGTTGTGTCTCATTGTCTCAACCTCTGAGAATCTGAAACTCAGTGAGAGCACACATCTCAGTGACTAATCTCAGACAGCATGCGGCACTGGGAGAGGAAGGGTAGGAAGCAATGGCCGTGCCTTTGGAAGTGGCTGGGTCCTATGAAGGGCAGGCCACCTATGTCTCCATCAGTCTCAGAGTCATAGGTTCTAGGACCATTGCCATTTTAGAGACAAGAAAACTGACATGCAAGCAGGCTAAGTGACTTGTCCAAGGTCACTTGGGGAGTTAGTGGCTGATTTAGGATCCTGGAGGCCATGGTTTCCCTTGTATGGATTAAAAAAGAAACTGTATTTTGAGTCACAATACAGGGCATGGGTACATTTGTATCAGCTCCAAAAGGATATAGGAATTTCTTGAAGGGAAGCAGATTAACATGGTTAAATAGCATGCTGCGTTTTTAATTTAACCTAGCTAACACAATTATCTTGTCATTTGAGTATTTAGAAGTGAGACATTTAGAATCAGCTTTTCAAAAGTGTCCTAAGGCCACCATTACGTCCGTATGGAACTGTACCAGGACAATGTCATCTGCCTCACAAAGCTCCTTCATACTTTCAAGAAGACGCACATGTGAGAGAAAGTGCAGTGGATTTTGCCTCTGAAGCGTGGCAGAGAAGCCCTGGGTTTTCATGTTCCAGTCTTAGGAACTGATAGGTCTAGGGAAACTTGAGATTGGAAATAAAATGAACTATCTTGGTTCCTGGGCAGAACCAAAGAATGACCCCAAGTGTGCTTCCTAGAGAAATCTGAAAAATCAATATCAGGAAGTAAATTAGAATCAGAATGAGAACTAGATCCTCCCAGAAGCTGAAGCAGCCATCAGCCATCTGCAAGATCTTGGGACACTGGAAAATAACGAGATGCACAAATAGAGACTTAACTGTTACGGGGTATCTTAAAGGATGACATTTACCTGACTGATGCTTTTAACACACACCCCCAAGTACAGTGTGCTACTCACAAAATAATTACAGGGTATATAAAAATATTAATTTATAGTATTCCATTGGGGGGAACACTCCATTAATGGGACACTCACTTAAAGTTGTATGATGAATGTCTTCTTTCACTACATTAAAAAGAACAATTAAACCCGGGCTTTCATGTACTCACCCCTAATTACTTTCTACCCCGGATAATTTTATTCCAGAGTCTGCGATTCTAGCTCTCTTTCATAACCTGCTCCCAGGAGGAGCCTTGTAGAGAGAACTATTTATTTTCATTACATTGCTCAGGTCCCTTTTCATTGACTCTCTTTCTTCACTGTGGTTCTAGCAATCTCTCTCTCTCTCTCTTTTTTTCTGTTTCACAGAATATACAGTACTTTTGAGCCCCAAACTATCCCAAACACAGTTAGTTGCTAGCAAGAATCAGATCAAAAGGTTGAGAGGACCTTCTTGTCTCTTCTCGAAATTAAGTAGAAGATGACTCTGTATACATGCAGGCAGCCAAGAAGTCACATGTGAATCCAAAACTAGATGCTTCATTCCCTTACGCCTCTCCTCCTAATAGGAGCATGCACAAGGCTGATGAAACATGTACTATAGTTTCAGAGGAAAGTGTATTTGAAGTACTCGGCTTAAAGATACAGGTTTCCATTTGAAAGGAAAGTTTATTGGGGGGAGGCTACCCCCCAACCCGACATTTCCCCCAGAGTGCTCTTGAGTAGGAGCAGCAGGAAATATTAGATAGAAAGAATATAGAGGGGGGAGATAAAGATAGAAAATACAGGATAGCCTCGAGAGGGCCTGGAACCTATTCCAACGGGCCCCGACAGTCTCTGTCCTAGGATATTTATACAAACGCCAAGGGGTGGAGCAAAAGACCTTCCCCAGCAGAGCTAAGTGCAGACCATCTCAGACATCTGTACTCAGGCCCATGGTCCCATCATCCTCTCTATGTAGACTTGCTGGGTAAAGCTACAAGGAACGGGAAAATGGGCTCCCACAGGCTGTCTCATTTCATTTGATCTACCCTTCCACATCCTCTCAGTAATCTCCATCTAACGGGAATGAACTGGCTTTTCCTCACATACATTCCTTTTGTGTATACAGAATGTGCCTGATCAGCCAAATTCTACACATCTACATCTAGCTCAGCTGTTCCTGTTTGAATAAAAAAAATCAAGATGCCTAAATCAAAACAGTAGCATGTTGAACATGGCATTGAGTTGTCACAAACAGCCATAAAAGACATCGGGTTGCAATGCCATTAGCAATTTCTATTACTCAGAAGTAGGATGCCTTTGTCTTATAAGATCTGAGGTTTTCTGGTACAAAAACAAGTGGAGGGAAAGAAGTGGAGAGAGATGGGAGCAAGATACAGGAAAGCGGCTCACTCTGGAAGAATGGACTCTCCTCATGTAAGAATTACTCGGTGCCTGCATCTGTCCACCAGACTAAACGTCCACAAAGCATTCTGCAGCTATACTACTTTTATTCTCTTTCCTGTATTCACTGATACACACAGCTGTAACTAGAACTGGAAAGGATGGTGGCCCCCCCTTGCGTGGTGTCCCCTTTAAAGTTGAGGGCAGACTTCAGAGATTACTTACTCCACAGAAGTAAATACCAGGCACCAAATATTTTGCATCCACCATCATGTGGAATCCCTGACATGCTCCTCTGAGTTAAAAATCATTATCCTTATTTTAGAGAAAAAGAAACGAATGCTCCAGACTTTCACCGCAAGACACAAGGGCAGGATTTCTCTAAAGCCTATATCTTGAGTCTTTGATTGCTATTGTGGCAATGGAAGGCCCCTGCCCCAAATCACTGTAAGAATAGACTGGTTTTAATCTACTCACCCACCAGGGACTGAAGCACCAAGATAAGACCATCTTTCCTGAAAGAGGCTGCCACGTTCCTATTCCACACCAGCTGTGGTTTTGGAAATAGTACAAGGTTATAGGAGTCATCTACGGTCTGGAAATTTCACCCTTGGGTACTGACCAGTTTCAAAATAAAGCAGCCAGGATTTGGGACATCTACAATATTTTGTGGTCAGTAGTAAACTAGTTAAAATTGCTCACTATCTTATTCCCACTGTCAACCTCCATTTAGTGGTTCATGATCGGCTGAGAACAAAGACACTTACCCCCATTTCTAACCACGCTCCCCCAAGCCCAGTTTTGTTGTTAAGGAGAACTGCTCAGTGGTTTAAGCGAAGCTCTAATTAATGAGCCTGATTCCTGCCTAACACTGGCTCATTTTAACCTGGTAAACTCATTAAACCTCTGCTCTTCATTTAGCCACGGGTGACCAGGGTATCATAATTTCAACCAAGTGTGCTCAGTAACTGAATGGACCTTGAGTTTCCCGAATTCCCATAGTGTCCCATCTGAAGAGTTCAATTACTACCATCAGAAGTTTACTCAGCACGAGGAGCGAGTTCTCTGATCTGTTCTGAATTCAGCAGAAGGCTTTCAAGATGAATGAAAGCAAACCCCTGGCTCCACAATTTCAAATGACCCGTTTTGCTTTAACCATAAATCAGCCAAGAGGTCTCAAATGCAGACAGTTTCCAGACAGGTCAGGTCATCTCCCGAGTTAATGAGAAGGCATGTGTTCACATATAAACATTGCTTACCTTTACCAGCAGATGCCAGCACCTCCTTTTTCTGGATGAGAAAGGCCATGGGGGTTTGGACTCCTCACATTCTGAGAGTTAAAAAATAATAATTAAAAGCCAAAAAGCAAAAAACAACACACGAATTGCATGCATACACACACACACACACACACACACACACACACACACACACACACACACGATTGCTCCAGCTCTCTCTCTCTCTCTCTCTCTCTCTCTCTCTCTCTCTCTCTGTCTGTCTGTCTGTCTGTCTGTCTGTCTGTCTGTCTCTCTCTCTCTGCTTTCATTCCAAGTTTCTGCCCAGTTAATCACATCAAAGGGAATTCTGAGGAAAAGCTGTCTTTTCATTGTTCTTACTGCTATGTTGCTAGTGTGAATGTGTAGATATCTAATAAATGACTTCCCTCCCCATATATAAAAGAATTTTCAAAATATAAAACAGACCAGGGATATCTGGTTTCAAAATGTAATGGGTTCTCAGAAAACCTCTGTCACTAGTGAGTTCCCAGTAAGTGTTGGATGACAGTGACAGCTTTGCAAATATTGTAACATATGAAACTTGGGCTGGGTCAGTACGTGGTGGGGAAATCAGGCTGTGAGATGGTGGAGCTGTTCATTTTGGCTGTCTTTCCAATCAATCAGTCAGACCAACTGAGCCTGCAGAGATGCTCACTGATGACTGAGAAAGCTAAACCAAAGGCATTCACCTCGCTGTCTGCCAAGGCTCGTCCAATAGCTAAACCACTGTCAAGATACAGATGGGTGCCATCTTTTGAAAACCAAGGTTATTAGAAATAACTCAGGTCCTTCCAAAAGTGAGCCTGTGCTTTAGCTGCCAAAGAGGAAACAAAGAAAAACAAATTCGAAGAAGGGTTTGTACAATGTATTCCAATAAACTTTGTTGGGGACATTTGCAGACGGACCCACATCAGAAACAAAAGTTTATAGGCTTTGGTGGCGGGCTACAAGCAAGGATCATTCCTGTGTCATTCTGTCTTGTGTCCCTTTGTTGTTCTTCTTTGGATGGTTTTCTTTCTTGAATTTTTTTTTTTTAATTTTTGGGCTTAATTTAAAAAGGGGTAAAGAAACAGCCATCATCTCAAATATATTTCCTGTCTGTAGCCATAACACTTTGAACACTCGCAATCTCATCAAATATAGTTTCTAACTGTGAAGATAACTTTCTTTATAAAAAATAATACGCAAGTTCTAAAAGTAAGATGGCGACTTCCTAAGCCCTTTCTTTGAACTTGCACGAGTGACTGGATGCATTATGTGAGCACAGTTGCTGACTGCATTCTTTACATCTAGCCAGCTCATCCGTGACTGCTGGAAGGATGCGAGCATTGTGTGAGTTGTCTAATCCAAATGTCTCTGAGTTGCTAGGTTTAGGCCAAAACGTTCCAATAAAAATGAACGGAGCCTCTCGGTTTTTGCCTATACTTGATTCAAATCACATCTGTGTAGAATGAATTACCTTCACGATCTTTTCTCCAGGGGCCTCTCTGGTCGTAATAGAGATAAGAAAACAAAAGCTGCTTATCAGCACTTGCAGTTAGAGAGAAAAAGGAGAATTTAAGCAAAATAAATCTCTGGGAGGACACTGTTTCTAACTTCATTGAGCTGCCTTAAAGATGGTAGTGATTAAAGAATTGGTGGGTCACTGAGGAAATATGGGTAAAGGTGGACTCTCAGAAATTTAAAGTGCTTATTATTTGTCATCCTAAACTATTGATTTTGGAGCTATACAAAGATTAACTGCCCCTTTCTTTCCATTTGATTGGAGTTTTGGAGGAATCGAATTAAAGGAAGTGACTCAGCTGTAAACTTGGTTTTCTTAAAGACAAAGGAATTCCTGTGCCAGTCAGCTAAAGGGGAAGGAGAGAAGGGCAGGGGAGTGTGTGTGACCTAAGAGGAAAGGCATGACTAGGTTATTGAGCCAGCCAGTCAAAGGCTTCACATCTGCTGTGGTGGAGACTCACAGCTATCTCACCAATTGCCATTCCTCCCTTCCAGAAGATTCTCAAGTTATAGGACTTCCTGTTTACACTGAAAGGTAGTCTGGTTAGAGACCCTGTGTCTCCCCTCCTCCTTTGCAGCGAGGCAAGCAGAGCACTGGGGAGATGCACAAGCTTTGCTCAGGTCCTAGAAAGGAAGGTAGCAGTTCCTTACTTTCTCCTCCATCCTCAGCATGGGTTGGGATGTGGTGTGGATGGTTCCTTACCACCCACATGGGGTAGAGCAACCCAGGTACATGATGAAAAGGAAGAAGAAGGCAGCTGGACACTAGCCTAGTAGGATCTCTCCTGCATTGTGGACTGCTTATCAGTTTTGATCCTCTTGAGAGAGGAACGGAGTGGAATGCCTGGCCAACCAGTGGGGTCCTCAGTTCAGCAGCAGCATCTGAAAGCATGTTAGAAGCACAGAATCTCAGGCCTGCTTAATTATACATGGCTTTAATTTTTTTCCAGATTAATGTATATCTGTATGGATATAGTGGTTAAGAGCGTAGATTCTAGGTGGACACTGAGTTTAAATCTAAATTGATAACTTAATGATATTACTGTGGGAAAACAGTTAAACCTCTTTGTGGCTCAGCTTTCTGGCTCTTAGAACAGAAGGTTAAAGCTCCCTCATGGGGTGCTGTGAGGACTATGTCCATTAATGTATGTAAATAAAGTGGTAAACACCTTGCTACTGTTACTATGGAAATTAACTTCTAATCTGTTTAAGCCACTTGATCTCTGATGAAGCTGTCAAGCCACTATTAAAATAATGGGTATAAGTGAAGATTTGGAGAAAGGAAGAAATGTCATCATCTTGAGGAAAATCATATTTTTGTCTCTTTTAGGGTGCTCTTACAGCAAAATCCATTTATATTCAATGAATATTCATTAGGTATATTCTAAGTGTCCTGAATTTTTCTAGATGCCAGGTAGAGATGACAAAACCCTCTGCTCTCACAGGGCTGTAACTAGAATTGGAAAGGATGATGCCCCCCACCACACACCTTGCTTGGTGTCCCCTTTGAGGTGGAGGGCAGACCTCAGGGATTATTTACTCTGTAGAAGTAAATACCAGGCACCAAATATTTTGCATCCACAATCATGTGGAATCCCTGACATGCTCCTCTGAGTTAGAAATTACTATCCTTATTTTAGAGAAAAAGAAAAGAGTGCTCCAGACTTTCACAGCAAGACACAAGGGCAAGATTTCTCTAAAGCCCACGTCTTGAGTCTTCGATTGCTAGTTGTGGCAATGGAAGTCTACCCCCTCCACCCATTACTGTAAGAATAGTGATTCCTGTTCCTTAAAAGAAGTTTGGAAAACAGTTCTGTTAATAATCCTACAAGTCAATGACCACCATTTTATAAATTAGCAAACCCAAGACCAAGGAAATAGAAGAGTCTGCTGTCGCCCTCTGTAGTAGTTGAGTTAACACCATTCTAAATACACACCTTTTTAATCCTGTTTTCAGTTAGAGACTTTTATCAAGTCTAAGACACTTAGGTCTTTACCGTATTCTCTCTAACATCTTTATGGGTCTCCCAATCAATGGCATATCACAGTGAATTTGCTGCATTGGTTGGATGTATTGATATATAAAATTCTGATACGTGTTTATTGTTTAGATTTGAAGAACTAAATTGTTCATTTATAATATGATAATATACAGGCTGGAGGGTGCAGTGACTCAACAATGGACTTTGTTTGCTGGCAGAAAATACTGCACAGTGAATAAAAACCTTAAATAAGAACAGAAGGTCTCAGGTTCTTTTTTCCTCCTCAAAAAGATAATAAGGGAGCTGGAGAGGGAACTCAGAGGATCTACGTTCGGTTCCCAGAATCCACACGACAACTCAGAACAGACTGGAATTCTAGGGGACCCAATATTCTCTTCTGGCCTCCATAGACACTATCTTAGTGTTTTATTCTTGTGAAGAAATGTTATGACTGTAGCTCGAATTCTAATTGGTCTTAACAATAAAAACCCAGAGCCAGATACCCCGGTAAATGTTGAAAGATAAGAGAGACAAAGGAGCCAGCCATAGTCACCACCCCTTACCTCGCCAACTCCTCAACCTGAAAGAGACTGAGCTCCTGTTTCCTCTCACTTTATATGCTTCTCTCCGCCCAGCCACATCACTTCCTGTCTCCACCTCTCTAGTGCTGGGATTAAAGGCATGAGATCCCAAGTGTTGGGATCAGAGGTGTGTGCCACCACTGCCTGGCTCTGTTTCTCTTTTAGACTGCTTCAATCTTGTGTAGCCCTGGGTGGCCTTGAACTCACAGAGATCCATCTGCCTCTGCCTCCTGAGTGCTGGGATTAAAGGTGTGAGCCATCACTGCCTGGTCCCTATGGCTAACTAGTGGCTTAGCTCTGCACTCTGATCTTCAGGCAAGCTTTATTTGTTAGATCACAAACAAAATATCACCACACGTGACCACAGCAACTCTTATACAGGAAAAACATTTAACTGGGGCTGGCTTACAGTTCAGAGGTTTAGTCCACTGTCACGGTGCTGGAGAGGGAGCAGAGAGTTCTATATCCAGGTCATCAGGCAGCAGGAAGAGAGAATGACACACTGGGCCTGACTTGAGCTTTGAAAGCTCAAAGCTCACCCACAATGATACACTTCCTTCAACAAGGCCACACCTACTCCAAAAAGGCCACACCTCTAATAATGCCCTCTCTATGAGTCTTTGGGGGCCATTTACCTTCAAACCACTACAGTCACTAAACTTTCATGTGGTTCACATGCATATATACAAGTATTCACATGTACACATAAAATAAAAAAAAATCTTTAAAAATAACAAGGTGGTATGATTTTTGTTATTAAAATAATCTATGCAAGTATGACAAAGGACACCAATAAGTAAATGACTCTGATAATTTTAGCCCCTAGATTCTCTTGATAGGAGGGCCATATTTTTATATAGCTAAAACACTTTACTCACACAAAAAGCAACTATTTGAGACTGGGTTCAAGTCATGGCCGCACACGGCGGCACAGTGAGGCAAATGAAAAGGTAGGCTTCTGATTTCCTTTCCTTAGTAAGATATGGAAGTGTATAGAGGCTCTTTGGAGCAGAAAAATATCTTTGTGTAGAAAAACCTTCATTTCTTCCATTCACCAGAGTGGGGAACTTTCAAACCCTGGGAAGATGAAAACACCAGAACAGGATGACACTAGTTTCATATGAAACCTAGAGCCACGATCTACCAATAGTTGTCATTCATGCCTTTTCGGAAAGTTTGATTTGAATGAGAACTGTCTGCCAAAGGCTCCTGTGTTTGAAATTTGGACTCTGGCTAGTGGCACTGCTTTGCAAAGCTATGAAGCCTTTAGGCTACAGGGTCTTGCTAGAAGAAATGGGTCACTGGGAGTGGGTCTTGACAGTTTATAGTATAGCCCCACTTCCTGTCCACTTTCTGTTTCCTGATCATGGATACAACGTGACTAGCCACTTAAGGCTCTTGTAGCCATGACTTCCTCACCTTTACCACGTAAGTCAGAATAACCCTTTTCTCCTTTAAAAGTTGGTGACATCAGGCATTTGCCATGGCAGCAAGAAAAGGAATCAATGTACCCACCAGTACACCAAGTTTCCTCACAATTTCCCACCAAAGTGGAATTAATCAATCTTAATTTAAAATGTAAGAAAAAAATACATTAGTTTGCTCTCTGTGGCACATAAAAGCAAAGCATCCTTCAGACAGCGCTGGTTCGAAAGGTACTGTGTTAAGAACTGACTGCCAAAGTCCGGCAGTGGTAGCATACGCTTTTAATCCCAGCACTTGGGAGGCAGAGGCAGGAGGATCTCTGTGAGTTCAAGGCCAGCCTGGTCTACAGAATGAGTTCCAGGACAGGCTCCAAAGCTACACAGAGAAACACTGTCTCGAAAAAAAAAACAAAAAACAAAAAAACAAAAAAAACAAAACAAACAAACAAAAACAACTGACTGCAGAACAAAGTGATCCACAGCCTATCAAGAGGGCAGGAAAAGAGAGTCGTCAGTGGGGAGAAAGAACCTCCTTTATCAGGCTTTTGATGGCTGCCAGATCTTAAATGTACCATTGGTTTCCTAGTAGACAAGGCCAGAGGACAGTGCAAGCAAGGTGCCAGAGGCAGAAGCTGAGCACCCTTCTGTTCCAGGGAGCATCTCTCTGTGATGTGTCATGCTCACATCTGTAGTGGCAAAAGCACCAGGGAGCCTGGGTTTCCAAGCAGTATGCACAATGATGTAGAACAAATGCTCGTGTCCCCCAGTGCTTACATGGAAACCCAGTCTGCATTGTGGTAGTGTCTGGAGGTGGAATTTTTGGTGGTAATTAACTTATGAAGGAATAGCCCTTATTAATACCCCATTAGGAGAATTTCTTTGCTTTTTCTGTCATATGAAGGCCCAATGATAAAAAAAAAAAGCTAAAGCCAGGAAGTAGACCCTCCTAGACACTGTGCCTCTGGTGCCTTAATCTTGGACTTTCTGTCCTTCAGAATTGTAAAGAATATATTTCTGTTGTTTATATGCCACTTACTTCGTTTGTGGTGTTCTGTTACAGCAGTCCAAAGTGACTAAGAGAACATTATTAGCCTAGTAAGCATGATAGAAGTCTTTGTCTAGGGAAAGCTACTGAGAACAAAATGACTTCTTCCATACAAGGAGGGCACACTTGCACAGGTGTTTCTTAAGAGTCAATTATCAGGCAGGGAGAAAGTTCAACTGGTAAAGGGCTATGAGGACCCGGGTCCCTAGAGCCCATAGAAAAACCTGGGTGTAGTGGTGTAATTCTAGCATTGGACAGGTAGACAAAGGTGGATCCCTGGGACCAGCCAGCCTAGTCTCAGCAAGGGCAAGCTCCAGGCCAATGAGAAACAAGATAGATAACATCCAAGGAATGACACCAGAAATTGACCTCTGGGCTCCAAGGCTTGTGCAAAAGTGTTCATGCTCATACCACACACATGTGTATCTAATACACTCACATTCACACAACACAGCAATACACACAAAGCCAATTATCAATACCCAAGAGGCAGAAACAGGAGAATCATTGCAAGTTCAAGATCCACCTATGCTACCCAGTTTATATAGACAGTTCTAGGCCAGCTGGGGCTATATAACAAGACACTGTCTCTAAAACCAAAACAAAGAAAGGCCAATGTGCCTAAGACATATCTAATGTATACTGAGGCATAATTTAACTATATACATTTTCTGTGTCTGTGCCAAGATGAAAAGGGAGCAGATACAGAATACTACCCCCAATACCTGCAACAGAAAGATCTCTAGAATCCAGTAGGGATGAGGACATTTGCGTTTCAGATTATGGTCTATAAATAGATTCATTCTATAAGTCCTGTTACTCTAGAGAACCCAGACTAATACAATTCTGTACAAGAATGCACTCTTAACCTCCAAGTCATCTCCCCAGCCCTTCCTGGGTCCTTGAGAACATTGTTATCACTGGACATCTGGCAGTTTACATTGCTGGCAGGGATATCTTGTCTTAAACCCAACTATCAAGGCTGGTTGTTTGGAAGCCATTGAAAGGTAGGTTCACAAATCTCACCTTCTGGCCACCAAAGGGAAATGGTATGACAGTATGCTGGCAGATCTTAGTGACAAACATTGTCCAGGCCCTAAATGTTAGTGAAACTCCCTGGGAGATTCTGTCCAGAGGACTGTTTCTCATTGTCATTGAACTGCCTGTGATTCAACCTTCCAGACCTAAGACATTGTGGTGTGCTGGACACAAGTCATGTTTGTGTCTCAGACATGTGCTGGCCAAGCACAGGAATGGACAACTCTCAGAGTCCAGTGTCAACTCTTTGCTAAGTGATATTGGGCACGGCACACTGTCTCTGAGCCTCAAATTGGTTCTCTTAACTGCTTAATGAAGACCCAATACCCACTCTGTCTACTTCTCACCCTCCCACATCAAAAACCTTGTTTTAAGATTCCATGGAGAAGTAAGATAAGTGGATGAAGTAAAAAACAACAATGTGAAAACAGAGTAAAGCATACAGGGGTGTAAAACTGAAAATTAGCTTTGAGACATTAAAACAGTAAACATGGGGTAAAGTATCATTTTCATGCCATTTTTGTGGCCTTGATTTAGTACAGGATTCTTTGAGATGTAGTGTTACTAATCCATGCACCATAAATGTACACTATTGTTGGTGTGTAAGTCCCTCATCCCTTGCCAAAACTCAAGGAGGTATGGCAAAGGATTAGAAATCAGTGACCTGGTATGTCATGGTCTTGCACTTCAACACTGTATCTTGCCTTATTCTAATTCACCTCTTATTGCAAATGTGTGTGGGAAACATGTGAAACACAAACCTCAGAGCCAGACATCAGCAAAACACAGAAATGGACCCAGTGATCGAAGAAGGTGGGAGAGAAAGGGGGGTGGGAAACCTGGAAATTGGAGAGTGGAAATGACAATGTACACGGAAAATCAATCGTCCTGAAAGTCCCATGTAGAAAGAAGGAACCGAGCTATAAAAATGGAAAGTGGGCACCTCAGGTCCAATCAATCAGATGCCAGGCAGACAGGGCTTTAAAGAATGAGGCTATTATCACTGAAGTTCATTTGACAGAGCTCAGGTGTAAGAGCTACCACGTGATGAGCACTCTCATCCACAATCATGAAAACAGTGCCAGGGTAATGTATCACTGTGCTCTTCTCACACACCCGACTTCAAGAACTATTGATAAATGTCGATCCCACCTTTAGAAAAACTCCATGTCATTGTGGATTATCCCAGTGTCTGGTACGCAGTAGGCATTCAAGAAATGTATAATGCACCAATGCAGATCTACTGTCAATCTATGTTTCCACGACATTGAAAGGTCCCAAACTGAAGAATCCATTTCTTCTCTATCTGTTTATTTATTATTGGCACTTACTGAACAGTGACTATGCCAGAGGCTGAGATGCAAGGTGTTTAATATCTTGTTCAGGGAGCCAGCTCAGTCATTAAGAGAGTTTGATTCCCAGCATCCATGCAGGCTGGCTCACAGTCACCTATAACTCCAGCTCTAGGGGTTCCGCTCCCTCTTCTGGTCTCAGCAGGCACTCATACACATGTCCCACTTCCATATACATACCCCACTTCCCATACAGACCTATAGATATCACATAATTTTCAAAATAAATTAAAAAGTTATCATTCAGTCCCCTAAACAGCCAGGGAGCACAGGATTATCCCACTTGGAGAACAGAAAAATTAAGATTTAAGGAGGCCACTCTTAGAGTCCTTAATCTATTTTTAGTTAGTCAAGTAACTTGCCAAGGTTCACTTACCTGGTTATCTGGGATCAGATTAACCAGCATACATAGTTCTTCTTACTAATCATATTTTATAGACAAGGTAGTAGGAAATAATTCAAGAATTTTAATTACCATTTATGAAAATGTCATAGTGAAATTTTTTACTTTGTGAAAGAAATAATACTATTAATATATTTTAAAAGAATTATACTTTATATTGCCTAAGGCCTGAGAATAGATTATATTTAAAGGTAAGCTCCCAGCAGTGACCTTAAGAACAGGAGTAGCTACAGCAGGGACAGTTGGTTTCTTTTTGGGGCAAACAAATAAGAAATGCGTCTTGCAAACCAATTCTCTCTCACACACATATAAGCACACATATGCATGGGTGTAATTAAATCAGGCTTGGCCTAGGTGGTGCTTACACCCACTGAGGGCATAGCCACTAACAATTCAGACCCCTCCAGTTTTTCCTCTCTCCTTCCCTCCCACTCTATTACAGCATGTGCAGTGATGGTTGGGTGGGCTTATAATTCACTGTGAACGCATCCGCTCATGGTTCCCACTTCACACACCACCAAACTAGAAGGCCATAAAGGTTGGAGAAGAGACATGGACTTTTGATTCAGTTGGGGATCTGCACCCCAGGTTGCTTTTACACTAATTGTGTGGGCTAAGTCAAGTAACTTCTTTGAACCTCAGTCAATCATCCACAGAATGGAGGTGTTAACACCTACTTCCAAGTATTGCATAGACTAGTGAGTAATGAGCGTTGCACCTGCAGCAACTGTCGCATTTGTCCCCCAATGCGTAGTGACAACGGTGTGAGGAGGTTAGGAGTCCAGAATGCCTGCCCTAGCACTCACAGTTTTGCCCTCTTAGGCCAGTCGAAAATTTCAGAGCTTTAGTTTATACCTACGTAAAAAGATGGGGAAACAGCAGGAACTCCCCCTTGGGGCTGTTGTGGGCGAAATAATACATAGAAAACCGCCGGCACAATGTGTGATGCTTAGCAAATTACCAGCTCTATCAGCTCTCCGGCGAATGTGTCTGCTATTATTTCCCAACTCCCTAGAGTCACAGTGTTCATTTTAGTGAACGAAGCTCGGGCTTGGGGTGCATGTGTGACATCCGCATTTCTCTGTTTACATCGCCACTCTCTATGGACCAAATCAATCCTGGATTGAAGAGAAATTACCTTAGTGAAGTAAGATTTGGTATAAGCTGTCTTCCTTCTCTGTGTTCCTCTATGCTTCCACAAAACCAAATCCTTGGCTTGATGTGAAAGATTGTTTGGACGAGAATGCTTTACTGACCAACAATACGAGCAACAAAATGAATCAAGGAAGAAGAAACAAGATTCTACTCACCAGGTAGAGGAAAGGAAGTTTAATTCTTTCAAGGGTGACTGAAGAACTGTATGACGCTCCTTCTGCTCCTTAAAGCCTTCCTTCTAATCATCTGTGGCAGACAGTCAGGAAGAAGGCCCTCCCTGGCAATCAGCGTCTGTGAAATGCCCTCCTTCTGTTGGATGTGGGCTAGACTTGGTGATTCACTTCTAACTAATAAGGTGGAGACAGCAATATGACAGAGAGAATAAGTCATAAAAGATTGCACAGCTTCGACTCTCTTCTGGAGCTTGCTCTGTGGAAGTTACCATGTTGGGGAAGTCACACAGAGAGAGGACTGTGTGGTGTGGAAAAAAAAAAAAAGGAAGCCTGCCTACATCCCTGTAAGTGAGCCTCAAAGCCTCAAAACCCAGTGTATATTGGCTATAATCCTAGCCAATGACTTGACTGCAACTTCAGCAGAGCAAATCTCCCCCAGATAACCCACTCCCAGAATTGTGACCCTCAGAATCCAGGATAATAAATGTTGTTTCTAGTTGGCTATTTTCCGGGATAACTTGCTGCATCACAGCAAGTACCTGACACAGAGCTCATGAACCTCACTTCCTACAGCAGTGATTAGGTTAGTGATGTAGTTATTACTCATTTATTCTCTCACGTATCCATGCACTCTTGTGGACTTCTTGCCATGTGTCAGGCAGTGTCAGATGGTCAGACCCTAAGTTGAGGAAGCTTCCGGTCTCCTGGTGAGCAGGCTGATGATTAAAATGGTAGATATATGCTAAATTTCATTATGTAGGATTTTATTTTTATAATTTGTCTATTGTGTATGTGCATGTCCATATACATGCATGCACTGGGATGCCGTGGTGCACATGTGGAGGTCAGAGGGACAATTTGCAATGTCAGTTTTTTCCTTCCAACATGGGGGGCCCAGGAATCAGACTCAGGTCATCAGGTTTGGTTAGAAGCACCTTTACATCTTCTGGCTATTACAAACAATGCTGATATGAACATAGCTGAACAAGTGCTCTTGTGGTGTGGTTGAGCATTCCTTGGGTATATGCCCAAGAGTGGTATAGCTGGATCTTGGGGGAGATGGATTCCCAATTTTCTAAGAAAGCGCCATATTGATTTCCAAAGTGGTTGTACAAGCTTGCATTCCCACCAGCAGTGGAGGAGAGTTCCCCTAGCTCCACATCCTCTCCAGCATAAGGTGTCTTCAGTGTTTTTGATCTTATTCATTCTGACAGGAGTAAAGTGGTATCTCAGAGTTGTTTTGATTTGCATTTCCCTGATGATTAGGGATGTTGAGCAACTCCTTAAATGTCTTTCAGCCATTTGAGTTTCCTCTGTTGAGAATTCTCTGTTTAGTTCTATAGCCCATTTCTTAATTGGGCTGTTGGGCATTTTGATGTCTAATTTCTTGAGTTCCTTATATATTCTGGATATCAGTCCTCTGTCAGATGTGGGGTTGGTGAAGATCTTTTCCCATTCTGTAGGCTGTTGCTTTGCCTTGTTGACTGTATCCTTTGCTCTACAAAAGCTTCTCAGTTTCAAGAGGTCCCATTGATTGATTGTTTCTCTCAGTGTCTGTGCTACCTAGATGCCCTTCAACTGAAGAATGAATAAACAAAATGTGGTACATATACACAATGGAATACTACTCAGCAGAGAAAAACAATGACATCATGAGGTTTGCAGACAAATGGATGGATCTAGAAAAAATCATCCTGAGTGAGGTAACCCAGACTCAGAAAGACAAACATGGTATGTACTCACTCATAGGAGGATACTAGATGTGGAACAAGGATGACTGGACTGCTACTCACATCACCAGGGAGACTACCTGGAAAACAGGACCCCAAGAAAGACACGGGGATCGCCCAATGACAGAGAAATGGAATGAGATCTACATGAACAGCCTGGACATGAGTGGGGGTAGTGAAGGGCGAGGGTCGAGGGAAAGAGAGCTTGGGGGAGCAGGAGATCCCAGCTGGATCAACAACAGAGAGGGAGAACAAGGAATAGGAGACCATGGTAAATGAAGACCACATGAGAATAGGAAGAAGCAAAGTGCTAGAGAGGCCCACAGAAATCCACAAAGATACCCCCACAACAGACTGCTGGCAATGGTCGAGATACAGTCCGAACTGACCTACTCTGGTGATGGAATGGCCAAACACCCTAATTGTCGTGCTAGAAACCCCATCCAACTACTGAGGGATCTGGATGCAGAGATCCATGACTAGGCCCCGGGTGGATCTCTGGGAGTCCAATTAGCGAGAATGAGGAGGGTTTATATGAGCGAGAATTGTTGAGACCAAGGTTGGATAAAGCACAGGGACAAATAGCCAAACGAATGGAAACACATGAACTATGAACCAATGGCTTAGGGGTCCCCACTGGATCAGGCCCTCTGAATGGGTGAGACAGTTGATTGGCTTGATCTGTTTGGAAGGCATCCAGGCAGTGGGACCGGGTCCTGTGCTCATTGCATGAGTTGGCTGTTTGAAACCTGGGGCTTATGCAGGATCGCTTGGCTCGGCCTGGGAGGAGGGGACTAGACCTACCTGGACTGAGTCTACCAGGTTGATCTCAGTCCACGGGGAAGGCTTTGCCCTGGAGGAGGTGGGAATGGGGGGGTGGGCTGGGGGGAAGGTGAGGGGGGCAGGAGGGGGGAGAACAAGGGAATCCGTGGCTGATATGTAGAACTGAATTGTATTGCAAAATAAAAAAATTAAATAAAAAAAAAAAGAAGCACCTTTACCTACTGAGCCATCTCATCAGCCCATCATGGTTTCAATGGAAGCTTTTAGGGATGCATCACACTTGCCATGTGGGTAGATAGAAGACACCAGAGGAGTTGACACCTGACCTGAGACTTGATACCAAAGTGTGAAGTTTCCATTCGGTTGGGCTACACCACTTCCTCTATGATTCTCCTTGGTCACTTTCTAGTTAACTACCTTTGCCTTGCTGTGACCTCAAAATATGAGAGAACAATTAAAAAGAAAGAAGTCTTGATTTTAATTCCCAGCTCCACGAGTTTCAGGCTGCAGTGTTTGGCTTGGTTGAGTCACTAAGCCTGTCACCAGTGAGGCAGACCATCATAGCAGTGAGCATGTGACAGGAGCTCATTGTGGACAAGACGCTGAGAGTGAGGAAACACCTGGAGACTGGCTATAACCCTCAAAACCAAATTCCAACAATCCACTTCCCCACTTAGATCCAACTCTCTAAGTCTGCAGAACCTTCCCAAATAGCAGCACTGGCTGGGGACCAAACTTTCTACACCAAAGCAGTGAGCCACAAGGGAGATCCCATCAAAGAAGAGAGACATCAGTCAGGGCCAGGTGCATGTTTGCATCTGTGACTGAAGACCACAGCTTCTAGAGGAGACCCACAGTGAATGGTAGAACTGATCAGTCAAGACAAGTGCTCCCCATCATGCTAAAGCAGGGTTCTGGAGCACCTTTTACGAAGCTGATTATAGTAAGCTATTGAAGGAGAAATCTGGGTGGCTTCTGAGAGTCATATGGATCAGAATTTGGACATAAAACATGACCCCTTACCACTACTACAGAAATACTTTAAATTAGTTTGTACTATTGTATGATGTGTTCCAGATGGATGCAAGCTCTGAGGAAACGTGAGGAATGTGTGGAATGTGTGAAGAATGAGCTTTTAACACCATTGGGGCATGGCTGGGTTGGTACATGGCTATTGCTTTAAGCCTTAGTCCACTCAATACAGTTTTTCCCTTATGTGGCCATAGACAAAATAGTGATTAAGGCTGTTTTCTAGAGACATACTACTTTTTTTTTTAAGCAATTACAAAAGATTGGGTAACATTTCTTCACTGAAAGAAGAATCAGGAAGCAGGTATATGGGCCTCTGTTCTTTCGTCACTACTGGCAACTCACTTTACTCCCCAGAACTAGAGCCTCCAAGTCCTTCAAGTCTGCATGTCATTGGCTCAGTATCAAGATTTTAGATGGTCACTATTAACCGGTCCATTATTATCCTGCTGTCTTCTATAATTTTACAAGTGTGCTCTTTATCAGTCCATCCCTCCTTTTGAGTGCCTTGGTCTCCCAGTAGATGTATGATTTGTCCTGTGCCTGTCTAGAAGTCTGAATACAGCAGGCACCTAATCAGCTCTCAAACATTCATAAATCATTCTTACAAATTTTCATGTTCCAAATAAGAGTTAAATGGGACATTCTAAAGAAAATATTAAGGGTTTTGGATTGTGTACAGCTCTGCATTGACTCTGCCTGCATGAATAATTAAGAATAAAGTTAAATCTCTGTGTGTGCATGCCCATCATAGTATTCACGCACGTTTTATGATGGTGTATGAAACACTTTCCTTTGCTTTAAACAGAAACCAACCTTGTTTAGTGGTGAGCAGGGATGAGTACAAAAACCACTTCAGTATCCTGAGAGCCACTAACATATCTGAGTCAAGTTCAAGCTACCAAAACAAAACAGAAACCTAGTATTTTTTTCCATTAAGAATAAATTCAAATCTTAAATGGAAAATAAAACTATGCAGTCCACTTTGAGACATTTTAGATATGTCTGTCTTTGGGGAATGAGAGCGGTTCGGTTTAGTTGTACTGTCTTGCTAATGTCGCTATGGACTCATTGTCCTTTGGGTGAGGGAGAAGGTCAGGTTAAACACTCTGTTGGGGAAAATGAAAACTGAGGCGATGCGGAATGAAAACAGGGAAGATGCCAACACTGTTGCTGAAAAAAAGAAAGAGGCTCCTAAATCCCCATGAAAGCAGGTAGGCAGATTCTCAGAGTGGTGTCTGAATGGGACTGCTGGGAATTTTGAGTACAAATCCTTCTCAAACCATTAAGCTAGTTGAAAAATTCCTACGAACAAGCTAAACAGACATGACCACACATAGAAGTCCCAAGGCTTTGCACAAGAATATTCCTTGTAGGTGTGAAGCATTGTTTAAAAACAGAGACGGGACAAACCCGTCCTTTGTTTGTGGTTTGTTTTCCTGCTTTGCATGTATACATTAGTGAATTTGAATGTATTTCCTTTACCTACGGGTGACAACATTAACCTATACATGTAGCACAACCTCGCGAGGCGTGGAAAACAGAATACACGGAGACTTTTTCTTCCTCAGTCTATTTCCTCTGGAAACAGCACTTCCACTACTAGTGACCATTTGTCAATAGTTTCAACTCCCAATGGCAGCAC